AAAATAATGCTGACATATAAAATACTGAGTCATGTAAAAACTCTTCAGTACTTAATTTTAAACTTAATTTAAATATTTTGTTATTTTTATAAGCATTGATACCATATACCACAATATATAGTAGCGTGTTATTAGTACATTGCTCTATAAGCTATATTTAAATTATCTGTGCGAATTATTTATACTATAGGCTATTTATATATTTTACTTAAAATTGTTTCAAATTGAGCAAAAATTACATTTTTATATTATTATTTTATATAATATTAATGTGGAAAGGCAAATTAGGCTATTAAAGTTTTATATCATGCCAATTCTCTAACCTCATACTTTGAATGACAAGATAGTCCAGTTAATAAAAATTATCTATATTTGATATAAAAATTCAAATAAATATAATTGGTGTTTGAGTTTTATAAGTGATAAAAACTTTTTAATAAAAGATTCAAAAATAGTTAAATTAAACCATACATGAGAAGACTCTCTTAATAGCAAAGAGTAATGAATGATACTGGTTTTGTTTACTTTGCATTAGAGATTATTGCGTTTAAAACCTATAATTGAATTCACATGTAAAATAATTAACTAATATCTCCCTTTTTATAAATAAAATCCAATATACATGGAATATTAAATAACTTAACTTATAATAATTATCACTTAATCACAAAACTTAGACAAAATTCGTTTTCATTCTATCGTTTCTGGTACATTTGTGTTTTGTTTTCATTTATTTCGTTTATTGACCCCATAAAGCGGGGTGCAGACTATCATACTGGTATGTCATACGAGAGAGAAAAACGTCGTATGACACACAGGTATGATAGTCTGCCACCTTTACCAACGTGTTGGCGTGCTCACCAAAATTTTGGTGAACAGCTCTCGCATACGCGTTGTGTATGATAGTCTGTCACCCCTAACGATTCATACGTCATACAAGAGCATTTTTGCCTTGCAAATTTATTGTAAGCAGGTGGAATATGTAGAATTATAATATAAATTTAATATGTTTTATATTATTTTATTATTAATGTATTTATTATTATTATTAAAATTACACTTATAAATTTGTGTTAAATATTTAATTGTATCTTAGTTAAAAAAAATATAAATTTTTACATAAAATTCTTATAAAAAATTAAAATACAATTAAATATTTTATGTAATATATTAAATATTTTGTTTAATTTATTAAATATTTTATTTTCTTTTATTTTAATTTATAAACGATGATTATAAGTAAAATTTTTTTTAAAAAAACATCTATATATAAACATCGTTAAATTTATGATCTAAGCCCAGTAATAAAAAAACATATTGAAAATTGGTCGTAATAACAATTAATTAATAACCTAAATTTAAGATATAATACTTTGTATTCTAAATATGCTTTTCTTTGTTAAAACTTGTTATTAAAATAAAAGAATTTTAAATGTTAATAACCTTTAACTAACAAAAATATGGAAATGATCAAATTTCTTGAAAAACAATGAAGATATATACATTCTTATGTATATATATATATACATTATTTGTATGATCTATTTATGAAAAATTTTTTAAGAAACTTTACAGGTAGTGAATGAAATTAACTACGGTCCTTTACTGATCTTTTCATTTTAACTACTGTGCTTAATGACCAATAAACATAAAAAAAATATGAATATGGATGTAGATAAAGCATTTTTAGATGCTTTCATTGAATGTTAATAAAAGTAATCGCTGTTTGTGGGATGTCCAAAGCTGTGAATATAAAGATCGCAAAAAAAACGCGGCATATATAAAATATACGAAATTATAATCAATTATAATATTATAAGCAAAGCACAACCTATACGTTAACTATCAATTTTTTCAATTTTAAAATTTTATTTTAAATACACAAATTTTCACAGCACTACCCGCAAAAGCACTCTTCAAAAATTTTGCCTAATCTTGTGTGTCATACCTGTTCAAATTCGGTCGCTAGAAGAAATTTGAGCAAGAGAGAGCGCAACTAGTATGACACACCAGTATGATAGTCTGCACCCCACTTAAAACTAATCCAACTGCGGAAACACATACAGATTAAGAAAAGAACACAAACCTTATATTGCTGAATATATAGAATGTACGATGAGATATACTAATGGAATTTAATAAGAAATTTTATCAAGTTGTATGTGAAATATAGTAAAAAATATGCACATCTTCAAGAATTCAGTATAATTTGCATTATTTCTACTTTCTCACAGTTTTTAATGCATAAGTAATCCCACGACGTAATACCTTTTCAATTAATTATTGCTTATTTGCTTTTTTTCTATTTTTTTTATACATTTTTTTCTTGATATTTATTTATTTCTTTTTTCAATGTATATTTATTGTTTTTTAATTTATGTATAAATAACAGAACGATTGTGTTATATATTTTTTTAATTATTTTGCAAACAGTCGCAGATGTTATAAATATGTCGGTATATTACGATATTAAACAAACCTAATTTTAAAATACTTTTATAAAGCAATTCTTCATGTGATAATTTTATATGTAAATAATGCAGAAAATCTTATTTGTCATAAGTCATAATTGATTATATTATGCGGCACTTATTTCTCTTTTTTGATTTTTTAACGGTTTTTGAGGATGTCCAGCTCAATTCTCCAACCAGGTTTTTTCCTAGATATCCGGCGATAACTAATTAAAGTTCAAAAATTGAGATTTTAAAAGTTTAGTAACAATTTTTTTTTATTTGAATGGATATACTATAATATAATCTATAAAATAAAGATTATATTAAGCATTTCGTGTCTTTAAAAATAAGTATCGAATAACTAGATAGAAATCTTTGCCATAGACACACTATCTTAACTCCTCCTCATTAGTGTCAAAAAGAGGTACTTTTTAAAAATTTCTTAAAACGTTTTTTTTATTGGGGTTTACTCAACAAAGCATCATAGGGGATTTTAGTTACAAGAAATTTATTTGATAATTTTATTCAACGCATGATAATACAAAAATGTTGCTCATATTTCAGTTATATTCAGTATAATATAAATATATTCTTTATTATTTTTTCTCGATTACATGAAGACATTACAAACATTTAAAACATATTTTTTTTAATCATTTCACGTGAGTTCATTGGTTATTATAACTTCTAACGTAATTTGATATCTTAGTACTTATGACCTATTAGTTTTCTTGTTCACTGCGGTGGTTCAATTGGTTTTGGGTTACAATATTCTTTACACCGTATCTTCAAAGAGTTTTGCGGCTTAGATCGTTTGTAAAATTGTTCACTAAGGATATAGTTGTTCGCTGCGAATATAATTATTCACTGTAGATGTAATTCTTAAAATAATGCTAGATAAAAAATTCCTCAATGTAAATATTATTCTGCACTATGAATATAATTCTTTACTGTGGATATGATTCTTCATTTTGGATGTAGTTATTAATTGTGAATATACTATTTTACTGTCTATATAGTTATCCACTGTGAATATAATTCTATCTTATAGATATAATTCTACACTGTAGATATAACTGTTTACTGTTGATGTGATTCTCGACTGTGCATATATATAATTCTTTACTGTATATATAATCCTTCACTATAGATTTAATTCCTTAATGTGAATATAATTCTTTACTTTGAATGTAATTCTTCGCTCTAGATATAATTCTTCACTTTGGATATAATTCTTCACTGTGTATGTAATTCTTTGCTTTAGATATAATTCTTCACTTTGGATATAATTCTTCACTCTAGATATAGTTCTTCAATTGGTCCATAATTCTTCACTGTGGATGTAAATCTTCGTTCTTAATATGATTCTTCACCGTCGATATAATTCATCATAGTTATAGATAATAAGATATAGTTCTTGACTGTTATTGCAATTTTTTATCGTGGGTATAACTGTATATAAAAAACAAAAACAAAGAACAAACACAGTACAATCAGTCAGTTCTCAGTGCATTCCACCTAGTAATTTACCGCAAAAGTCACATTTTCCCATTTATTTTTTTGAAATTAATTATGTCTATTATCGATTTGGTTTTTCCTTCCAAAGACTGGCAGCATATACATTTGCAAAGATGTATTATTTTTTTCTACACTCAGAGTTTATTCGATAATTATATTTTATTTATTATATGATATGTTATATGTGGATATACATATGCTAGATTCTGTCAGGAACATATGATATTAACGTGGAATCCCCATTGTTGTCTATCTGAAACAAGGTGACGAAATTCGTTGAAAGATCTTTTAGTCTTGTTGTTCACCTCAATGTCATTTTTGGTATTTCTATTGCCCTGTTTCCATGAGACTTCTTTATAAATAAATAGTAAGTCACCTGTACTTACTATTTATTACAATATTTCTATTTTCTTGTTTCTTATTTTGAATAGATCGATACCTTTGTGTGCTCTCTTTTATTAGAGACGCAAAATCCTCGTAGAAAAGAAACTGTCTTAGCTTGAACTTAAGAGCCTAAAACCTATGAAGACAATGACAGCAACTAAATTGGTAACGAAGAAGATATATTGTCTTCATATTGGGAATATTATCACCGAGTTATGTTTTAGTATTTTTGAGTAGAATTGAAATAGGAAATGAATTCAGAAACTGGAAAGCACTACCTAGTTGTAGAGGCATAATTAATATTAAGATATTTTTGATAGTGATTACTTTCATGTGACACTGTACAACAGGCCATCATGGGCACAACCAATGAGAGCATAAACTTGTCATAACTATATGACCGTCTATGTACCATATCCAGTTACATTGTATTGAAGATTAATATGTCAAAATCGTTCCGTAAACAATCGAAAAACAATGTTTTTCGGAATTAATATTCAATTGAGATGTTTTTTCGCTATCTTATAATATGTTTACTAAATATGCTGATTACTTTTGTTTTCTGATTTGTCTTATCGCTTATACAAATATTGCTTTCATTCTTATCAAATAAAATTTTTAATTTTTTCATTCAAATATTTACAGGTAAATTTCGTTACAATACTGAATTAACTGGTCCGCGAAGCATATGCGAAGCCATCGAACAATTGGGTTTCCATGCCCAACTTTTAACTGGTCGGGATAAGATCGCACATAGCTATTTAGAACATAAGGAAGAAATACAGAAATGGCGAAATGCTTTTCTAATATCATTACTATTTGGTGGCCCTTGCATGATAGCAATGATATACTTTATGGTGGAAATGGGTAATAGAGGTCATGCCGCTATGTGTTGTCTTGTACCTGGTCTATCATTAGAAAACCTAGTAATGTTTCTCCTATCCACACCTGTACAATTTTTCGGCGGTTGGCATTTCTATGTGCAATCTTATCGTGCGATTAAGCATGGCACAACTAACATGGATGTACTAATCTCCATGGTAACAACAATATCCTATTTATATTCCGTCATCGTAGTTATATTTGCAGTATTGATGGAACAAAATTCATCACCATTAACATTTTTTGATACACCACCGATGTTGTTGATTTTTATCTCATTGGGTCGTTGGCTGGAACATATAGCTAAAGGAAAAACATCAGAGGCTTTATCGAAACTACTTTCCTTAAAAGCAGCTGAAGCGGTGCTTGTACAAATTTCTCCCGACTTCGAAATAACATCAGAAAAAGTGATATCAGTCGATTATGTGCAACGCGGTGATGTGCTTAAAGTTATTCCCGGTGCAAAAGTACCCGTAGATGGCAAAGTACTTTTTGGTCATTCAACCTGTGATGAATCGCTTATCACCGGTGAATCAATGCCAGTGGCGAAAAGAAAAAGTGCTGTTGTAATAGGTGGTTCCATCAATCAAAACGGAGTGTTACTTATATCTGCGACACATACTGGTGACAACACAACGTTAGCACAAATTGTACGACTGGTTGAGGAAGCACAAACGTCTAAAGCTCCAATACAGCAATTAGCCGATCGTATTGCTGGTTATTTTGTACCCTTCGTGGTGATTACATCAACTGTTACGTTGATTGGCTGGCTTATAGCTGGCTTCATCGATTTCAACGTAGTGCCTGTGGATATGGAACACAAAATGCATATGGACACAAATACCATTATCATAAGCTATGCTTTCAAGTGTGCTTTGAGTGTTTTGGCTATTGCTTGTCCATGTGCGCTTGGTCTAGCAACGCCTACGGCTGTAATGGTTGCTACTGGAACTGGTGCTATAAATGGTGTATTAGTGAAAGGCGCTACGGCTTTAGAAAATGCGCATAAGGTAAGTTATTGTTATAAATTCGTAGTATTTTATTTAGTTTTATGTAAATATAATTTTAAAAAATTGTACAATACTTACTATATTTGCTATTAATTTCTGTCTATTGCACAAAGCTTAATGCAAAGCCTATGTTTAATATTTCGATTGTTACTGTGTATATCGATTTTGAAAATTAAAAATTCATTATTGGATTAACAATAATTGTGCACATGTTTTGATAAGAATTTTTTATTACAAAAGTTTTATCAAAAACTTTTGTTTTAGCTTAAAATTCTTATCATAATCTATGCAACATTGCCGTAAAACATTAAAACATTAACATTTTTTATTGCAATAAGTTTCTTAAATTTTAGTATTAAAAAAATCAGCTTTTTCATTTTATATGGAATATACAATAGTGACATAATTTTAAAAGAATTAATTACAAAAACAGTTGCCCCATTCTTTAACGATTAATGGCACACATGTGTTAATTTCACTAGCTTCACATATGGCTTCACATTCTTTGAAGTCAATTATGTTTTTTATATATTAATATAACATTCATACAAACTCCTTTTTTGGATATAAATTAAAAAGTATATATGTATATATAACTACAGTCAAGCTGTCAGACCTCGAACTTCTATAATTCGAACTAAATAGAGTGCAACAGGGTTTAGCGAGAAAATTATATAAAATTATAAAAAAATCTTTAACTCGAAGTCTCCTTAAGACGAACCTTTCTTTGCAGAATGCTACTTCGAGTTATGGAAGTTTGACTATATATATATATATATATATGTAAATTTAGACTTATTCCCACTATATACTATATACATATATGTCATATAGATCGGGGTTTCTCGACATCTAAATACCGCATTCTTGCCAATACTAGTCCTTTTTCTTCTTCTATGATACTCAATATGTAGTGTCTGTGACCATTTGGATGATTCACTGTACTAAGAGCTCCGCTGAATTCTTATATATTATTCAGATGATTTTATAAAAGTATACTTTGAAGCCCAATATATCTTTCTGATACGTAGTGCATGTGATTTAAGAGACTGCAATTCTGAATTAATGAGCACTTCCACAGAATCGAACAGTTTCATCGCTTTGTCTGTGATATACTTTTGCATACTCTCGATTCTGTATGCCTTCATTTCTGATATCGCTAATATCGTGGCTTAAAAGAGCTGAAAACCCGAAATTTATTCAAGTGTGACAAATTTGTTGTCAAACTATTTACCTATATTAAGTTATCCACAAAAGTACTACCCTAAACCTTTTAGAGTAGTAATTATTCATTAACATTTTTATACAGTAAAATCTCTTCTTATCGGATATTCATCATTAGATAAGTTTTGTCCGTTCAATGGGAGTATCGGCTATTTCAAATTATGATTACAAAAATTTCATTTTAAAAATATTGCTCACCCAAAGGAGATGGTTCGGCCAAAAAAGGGTCGGTTGTTCTTTATATAGATTAATAAAATGTTCTGGTTCTCACCAGAAAGATTTATTTATATATAACATAATAGTGATAAAGGTTCATTTTTAAAAAAATTATACTTTAAAGAGTGATATCCGCTACGAGAGCTTTCACTGTATTTGTAAATCATAATTTCTTCGCTATAATAATTTCTTCATATAAAAATAAAATATATAAGATATCAATTTTTTTATATAATATTTTAATTTTTATATATATATTTAATATATATATATATTATATTTCATAATTTAATTTATATATATATTATTTCATTGAAAAGACCATCTCTGGAACATCAATTTTTGGCCACTTTTTGAAATAATTCTGCACTTATCATAGCACGAATAATATTGATTCAATATATTTGAGTGTTTGTGATTTAATGAATGTTTAAACCAATGTTTAAAAAGTCTAATGGAGTTATATCACATTACCTTGGTAACCTTGGTCATATCGGCTTTAAGACAAACAAGGTTATTGAACCCTTTTTTAGTAAATTGTTTGTGTCACGAAATGTATGGCATGGTGTATTATATTGGTGAAAACATATATCGTCGAAATAATATTAGTCATGCAAAAAAAAATAAATGAATATGTTCTTATAGCGACGGTAATTGCAATGGCATTTTCATTTTCAAAAAAAAAAGAGAGTCAAATATGGCCCTTTAAAACAACTATAGATAATAACCTACACTAATAATAATTTGGGGACTTGAAAGATAATTCCAATGCGATAATTTAACTAATTTTCAAATACATTGAAAATTTGAGTAATGAAAAATGGTTTTAGGATGACTTTTCATAAAATAATGGCTCTTTTTCAAGTTGTGTGTTTTAAAATACTGTTTATTACCATATTTCGTGGATAGATACATGTAGTGAAAGGAGGATCAAATTAAAAAAAAAAAACTATTTTGAATCCACATTCTCGTAATTGTAAGTAGAAATTGGGCGTATTAGAACCAGTCGGAGGATTTAAAAAATTGGAGTATCTGGCCAATACCACTGTTGAAAATATCGCTGTTTGAATTAGAGATTTGAGTGGTCAAAAACTTAAACTTGGTTTTGAATTTTGGTTTCTGGACATAGACGCTACAGATTCCATAAACAAAACAAAAATTTTTTTAGGACAAAAGTTACTTAAAGTTGTCCAGAATTAACCCTTTTGATCGACATCTAACACATCTGAATGTATTCATATAAAATATATATATTATATATATTATACGTGTGTTTCGGGTGTTGATTTGTGTATACACATTTGGGTTTGATATTATGTTTAAAATAATAATATGTGATAATATGTATTCTATAAGGAAATATTTAATAAGAACTTTGATATATACATATCTCTTCGACTTGAACAGTCTGTGTTCTAGTATACTTTAACCATGTTTATGACCTAGTAACTATTGTCTAAATAAAGATAGTAAGCAGAGCAGTTGGCAGCGCATATAAAGAGTATATTATATAGACTATATAACTAATTAATTATAATATTAGAATTACTCATAATAGACGTGATGAAATTCATAGCTGGGGAATACTGGAAGTTTAATATGAAACAGATTTTTAACAAGAAGTTATATTTATATATAAAAAAATCTATTTTATTAGAAAAACTTTTTAAATGTCACGTAGACATGAGTTTTTTGTATCAGTTGATGCTAATGTAATAAAATCAACATCTGCCTGGTAGAAATTTTTGTTAGACTTTGTTCTCTAAACATAACTTCTACAACTAAATAATCAATCAAGTGATCATATTTATTCATCTCTACTCAAACTGTATAATATATGTATATCTGTATATGTACATGCATATAGTTTATTTCTGCCTATTGATTTATGATCATAAATATTTATTATACATTCTTTATAAATATTTTCATTCATTCTTTCAGGTGAAAACGGTTGTGTTTGACAAGACCGGTACCATCACGCACGGTGCACCCATGACATCGAAAGTAGTGATATTTGTTAAGCCAATCGTATGCAGTTTAGCACGTTTGCTGACCATTGTAGGTGCAGCGGAGCTGAATAGTGAGCATCCCATCGCATCGGCTATTGTACGTTTCTCGAAAGATGTACTTAATATGGAGACATTTGGAAAAACTCAAAATTTTCAAGCTGTGCCTGGATGTGGAATCAAAGTAACAGTGTGCCAATATGAACAATCTTTACGACAGGCATGTAATGCTGAAAAAATCATAAACTATGAAAATAATTACCGCTCGAATCCTAACATGGTACAAATGGAAAATGGTGTTATTGTTGAGGAAATTATACCACAAAAAAGTACACAGAAAACAATGGAAATACAACAACAACAACTTTTGAAACTGGAAGAAAACTTATTAAACTCTACTAAAAGTGTAGATACAGTGAGCACTGCCATATTAGGAACGGAAATCAATGTGCTAATTGGAAATCGAGAATGGATGCAAAGGAACGGTATTTTAGTGCCAACAGAAATTAGTGATAGTATGACAACGGAAGAGTCCAAAGGACACACTGCGGTATTATGTGCACTGAATGGTCAATTGGTATGTATGTTTGCTGTGTCAGACATGGTTAAACCGGAAGCACATTTAGCAGTTTATACACTAAAAAAAATGGGAATAAATGTGATATTATTGACTGGTGATAATAAGAATACAGCAGCAAGTATAGCACGCGAAGTAAGTAGAAAAAAAAATAAATTTAAATAAATTAAAAATGTAACTTTTGTTTTGCACTTACCAGGTTGGTATAAATCGTGTTTTTGCGGAAGTCTTGCCGTCCCATAAGGTCGCAAAAATTCAGCGCATACAAGAAGATGGTGTACGGGTTGCTATGGTAGGTGATGGAGTTAATGATAGTCCCGCATTAGCGCAAGCTGATGTGGGCATTGCAATAGCAGCAGGTACAGATGTAGCTGCAGAGGCAGCTGATGTTGTACTAATGCGTAATGATTTGATTGATGTGGTGGCATGTCTCGATCTTTCACGACGTACTGTGCGACGTATAAGATATAACTTTCTCTTTGCGAGTATGTATAATTTATTGGGCATACCATTGGCATCTGGTATATTTGCACCATTTGGATTTACACTACAACCATGGATGGCTTCAGTCGCAATGGCAGCCAGTTCAGTATCTGTGGTTTGCTCATCGCTTCTGCTCAAATTTTATCGCAAACCTACAGCAACATCACTACGGACTGTTGAGTATATGAACTATTTAGCTATGGAACGAGAACGCGAACCAGATAATTTGTCATTACATCGCGGCTTAGAAGATATACCACGTCATAATTTCAAACGCTCAACTAGTTCGGTATTGTCGCGTATATTCTTTCCTTCTGCCAACAACAAAGGGGATAGCAATGAAGATACTCTGTTAGATGCTGAAAATCGTGAATTTATGTCAACGAAAATCATTAAACAAAAACATTTTAAAGACACCACAGAAATGCAAACACTATAGTGATTTATTTTTGCTAACATTTTTGTTAGATGCTGAATAAACGAATGTATGTATGTACGTAAATGTTTTCATTTGTTATAGTCAAAGTCAAAATTCAAAGTAATTAAAAATTGTTGATTGATATGTTGCAATATGCTTTATAAAGCTTAAATCTTAAAAAAGAAAATGTAAATGTATGTTTTATCATAGCTATATCGTATCCATTAAGATTTATATACAAATAACATATATATATTGTCGAACTACATACTTATATTTACACTTATAATTATGTATATAAAAAAGGACAAATGTATTTTTTTTGTTAATTATTAATTGTTAATAATAATTGTTTTTATCATTTTTTTTTATATCTCTACTATTATATATGAACATTTTACATCACTTAAATAAAATAAGCTGTAAAAAATATTATTAAATAATATACAAACTTGCTGTAAATAACTTTTTATACCAACAATATATATATGTACATATAAATTATAAATTATCTATATATATATATATAGCTTTATGTAATAAAGACCCTATACCTATAAATGCAATATAATTTTGTGTGTGAAATGTGTCAGATAATAATAATTAAAATATTTTGCAAATATAAAATTTATATAAAATGAAATTTTATTTATTTATTTTTATATATAGTACCTTAAGTCAGTATTAAAATTATTTTAATTTTACTTACTAATATTTATTTAGGTACTCTGTACATAGTGTGGCAACACAAACATCAACACATACATAAACAATATATTGGAGGGACTAGTCAATCTAAATATATACATCCTTACATTTGATTTTAAACCAAATAAACCAAAATTTAAACCAAATACAAATAAATAATAAATATACAAAATATTAATTTAAAATAATAAAAGAAATTTAAAAATCAAATGTCAAAGTACACGTTTTCCTAATAATTAAAAAAACAACATTCAAATTAAAAAAATTCATAAATAATAAAACTCAATGTAATAGTGAAGATAATAAAATTCATAACATTGAATTTAATGATAACAATATATAACTTATATTATAATTTAATTTATTCTTAATATAATTTAATACTAACAAAATTAAATATGAATATAATTTAATGTTAACATAATTCAATATTAACAAAATTTAATAATAACATAATTTAATATTAATATAATTAATTATTAACATAATTTAATATTAATATAAATTAATGTTAAAATTATTTTATTTTTATATAATTTAATATTAATATAAATTAATGTTGACATAATCTTATAGTAATATAATTTTATATTAACATAATTTAATATTAATAAAAATGAATATATTTCACTATTAATATAATTTAATAATAATATAAATTAATACTATTAATAAACTAATTTGAAACCTCTCTACTAATAATAATAATATAAATTAATTCTACTATATAATAATTCAAATTGATACTAATAATAATAATATAAATTGATACTAATAATAATAATATAAATTAATACTAATAATAATAATATTAATTAGTACTAATAATAATAATATAAATTAATACTAATAATAATAATATAAATTAATACTAATAATAATAATATAAATTCATACTAATAATAATAATATAAATTAATACTCATAATAATAATATAAATTAATACTTATAATAATAATATAAATTAATACTAATAATAAAATATTTCAAAAAAGCAAATTTATACTCTAATAGCCTAACATATTTATTACAAAAAATCAATTGGTTTTGTAAAGAAAATTATTTTATTTGAAAAATAAGTTAATTATATAAATATATGTGTCTACAATTTAAAAAACAAGAAATTGAATGTGTAAAATGCATAAATAATTAATGGGTAATATGTATTAATAATTGTCTACTACCGAGATTAGATTTATTAATTTAGAATTTATATTGTTTCAATTAGCAGTGATATTTCCTAAATGTTTTTAACCTTGTGTTACTATATATTATATCTATATATGTATATATGTATATACATATAATAAAAATAATTGTATTCCGTGTCCTACTGTAGAGTGGCCAATACTATTTATTCTACAATATTTTCTATGATATCAGCTTTCGTTGCATTTTCATCAATAATAGTTTTAGTTACAGGATATATATTTAAAGTATTTTTAAAATCATTAATATTTGAAATTTCTTGGACGTCGGATGCATTTGTTATAAAATTTAAATTGAGAGTAGTTAACAGCTTCTCGTCGATATCTTCGGCATCGTCTTCGAGATTTGAATTCTTTTCATTTTCTTTATCTTCAGATGTAGTAACTTTACTATTGCCAATTATTTGTATAGATAATTTCCGTAAATTCGTACGTTCATTTTCCAAGCAGAACTGTATAATATCTTCTTTAGATATCGTACGTAATACTTCTACTTCTTTACGCCTTCGATCGAAGAAATACTCTCCACAATGTATTTCACCCCAATTTCTGTTGACCTCCTCATACAGCGCCATATCCACAACCTGCTTCGATTTAATTAAAGACTTCCGCACATGCTCATATTCCTTTGCTGTTTGTTTTTTTATAATTGATATTACTGTATTGCGGAAAGCCTCAATACGTTCATCAACATAAGAAGCTTCATATTTATTTTCTTGTGAATTAATTATTAAAGTATAACCAACAATGCCATAATTAATCCGAACCGAAGTGGACACTGAATAGCCCAGCTGTTCGAGAGAACGTAGCGTTGCATAGAAAGGTTCCTCAATGAACATCATTAATAAGTCCAGTATGCTTTCAGTACGCAAAGTATTTGGACCGATTTGGTAGAAATTACAAACCACTGTGTTATTATCTTGATTGTTGAGTGCTTGAATGCGTACATAGTTCGAACCCTTTGGCATTTCTAGAATTCTATCTTCAATAAATTCATGCTAAAAGTAAAAATGAGAAAATTTTATTTTTATTAAAAATAATTTTAAATATTTTTTTGGCATAATTTCCATTTTTCGGACACGCTGGTTTGATAACGGATTGTTGTGAAACCCGCAGAGAGATATAAAGGAAACCTGTAGAGCAGATAACATGACGAGGAATTACAAACATGTATACATGGGTTAGGATGTGAGTAATGTGACAAGCAAGTTTGTAGAGCAGATAACATGAAGGGAATTAGAAACATATATACATGGTTTAGGATCTGAGTAGTGTGACCGGTCACACTAACCCAGCGGGTTACAACAAACATAACATCTGAATGTTATGTTATACTATAAAACTCGATATCAAAAGAGCGTGCCGGGAAAATTGGAATCATGACAATTTTTTTATTTGAAAACTTACCTCGGTAATACGTTTGGAGTTCACAGCTGTAAGTACGGAATTCATAACATTATGAGCCTGTTCCTCTGTCATGTTGCCTTGCATCAAACATTTTATATACAATTGATCTGTATATATTTTTGAAAAGTTTATTATATCGTTTAAAGTTACGTCTCTTATTGCCATATATTTGTCAATTAAAGGCCAGTGTTTATTATGTACGATACTCAACCGTATGTCTCTGAAAATTAGATAATTAATTTAATTAGATAAAAACTTTATTATAATCTAACAATTTACTTATTTAGTTTAGCTGGCTTTATAAGAATATTATAGTATTGTTTCAAAATTTTCATTTTTAGCACATCAAATATCGCTTGACTTGAATGACAGTCTATATTGGTCATCGCATTTATTATAATATTAACAACTCTATGTACTTTTTGATTGTATCCATTTACCTAAAATATTATAAAATAAATTTATATATAGTTTTTATTATTTCTTGGAGAATATTTTATTAAAATTTACCTTTAGTACAACCCCTTTTTCAGCTCCACTGAAATCATAGGTTAAGCCAGCAACAGTTGCCGGATATAATTCCTCGGCTAAACAAAACTTAATCATCTCCGCATATATACAACTCATAACATCACTTAAAAAAAAATTAATTTAAATACAATATTAATTCATTATTGAAACACTTTAAGGGTTTTCACGAGCTCGAGTAACAAGCTCGGTAAGCGAGTAACATAGTAACACTGTAAACAGTCAACCATAAAATACATGTCGAGTAGATATACAACTGTTTACTACTACTATGTTAATCGATTTTCGAATTTCTCACATAAAATCGTGAATATCATAGCATATATTTTATATACTTACTTTTTAACACTCTGTCGTGGCAATGGAGATATAAAATGAAAATACATTGTAGCATGTGGTAATAGAAATTTATCATCTTGCCTAAACCAAAGCTCACAAACATCACTTTGTAGAATTTTTTTCGGTCCGGCAGGCAATTCTGGCTTGCCATCTTCCACCCAAAACAGACGAAAATCATCTGATATGAAAGTATTTGACTCTGGTAAGAACAATTCAGGCATTTCCACACAATTTTCCCACAGATTTTTCCATTTCTCGGGCATGTTGATAGTGCCATACTGAGTACCAAACCATTTCTCCTCTTTATCATATACAACACCTTCACATTTTCCTTTCGATGTTATCATTATGTTAAATCTAAAATCATTCAAATGATCCACAACTTCTTTCACTTGTTCCTTGTTATACTCAAAGTATATGTCCATTCCAGTGAGTATATCTTTTGGAGGGAATCGTTTACTTTGCGTTACTAAGTTCTGCACATTATCAAATGCGGGCTTTTGCTCTTGAAAACGAAAAGATGTCGACTCAATTGATTTCAGATTATTATACACTTCTTCCAGCTCTTCAAATTTCGTGTTTAGTAGCTTTACGTAGGAAAATGTTGCAGCGAGTACCTGAATAATAAAAAGGATTTATTTTAGTATTCTTTTAGTATAATTATTGCTTAGGCTATTTGAACAGTACAATTCAAAAAGATCTTTTTTAAGTCACCCCAGTTTAGAATATCGAAAATTCGAAAACTACTACGGATTAATCGTCGGGATCTTAAATCACTGACAATAGATAATTGACTCTGCTTTCAGTTATAGCGTGTCAACTAAAACGGCAATAAAGCCAACCAATTCTCATCAGGTGTATTCAAGACTGGTAATGGAAGTATTCCGAAAAAATAAATATAGTTGGCCAAAGCAATCAAAAATTGATTTTTTTTTGACGTTGCAGGTAAACTAGTCAGAAAAGGGGCAGTCTGTTGTCCTGGACCATTCTATGCATTGAGAAGAGATAGTTTCCTTTCACCCATTTAGAGAGAAGATTAGAAACAAAGAGTGGTGTACTGAAATTATATACCAGGAATTAAATATCACCGTCAAGATCGGCGACTGGCTCCGGGATGTAGATGCGGCCATTCTTCGAACCCACCCACCTTAAATCTACTTTATCTACTCCACCCCTCCTTCCCCAACCTTACATGTTATCTGCTGTAAGATCCTAATGGGTTACAACAACAACCAGGTATATCGCAATCGATATCGCTTATGGGGACTATCAAGCTAAAACGGTTTAATAATTGTATGCAACTAAGCAAATATAATTTAAAAATTATCACAGGAATTCTGATAGAGCACAGTAGGTTAATCCTGTCAGGGTAAATCACTTTACAAAAATGGGGACTTATCCTAATGATACTTTTAAGTTTTTTAGGGAGGAGTATGAGACCTTGAAACACGTGCTAGGAGTATACCCGACACTGATGCATAAACGAAAGAAGTACCTAAGTATCTTAAATCGGATGAAGAAATAAAATATAATATAATTTATAGGTAAATTTCTATAAATTAGGTTCAATATTACAATTTATTAAGGAAGTTGGTCATGAATAATTACTGTTAGTCCATGAAGGGGACAGAATAGATCTCTAGTGGGCAGTGCGAATTCCGTAATAGTTATAATATCAATTTTAATAATAATAATTAAATTAGTAATAATAATAATAATTACATTAGTATTAATAATAATAATAATTACATTAGTATTAATAATAATAATAATTACATTAGTATTATTAATAATAATAATTACATTAGTATTATTAATAATAATAATTACATTAGTATTAATAATAATAATAATTACATTAGTATTAATAATAATAATAATTACATTAGTATTATTAATAATAATAATTACATTAGTATTATTAATAATAATAATTACATTAGTATTAATAATAATAATAATTACATTAGTATTAATAATAATAATAAATAAATTAGTATTAATAATAATAATAATTATAATAAATAAGCATTAATAATAATAATAATTAAATTAGTATTAATAATAAGAGTAGAGTTAATAATATTAATAATAATAATTAAATTAGTATTAGTCATGAGAGTAAGGTTAATAATATTAATAATAATAAATAATGTCTAATCTATATATCATATAAATATCAGAAATTAATGTTAATGTGTACAACATACCTCGTCTATGTGTTTTAAACCATCATCAGTCAAAACTATACACAAATTAAATAAAGTATATATAGAATTGGTGTCAAATCCTGAATCATCAGGTCCCGCTATTAAATCAAGACCCCAAAGCCTATAAATAAAATATATGAAACTGTACTTAACACATTTGAAATAGAAACTATGTTACCTTTTTCTGAGGTAGGCGCATAAACTGCCTTCTCCTTCATAGCCGAGTATAAAAGAAATAAAGTGCTCTGGTTTACATTTATAATACTAAAATAAATCAGGAAATATTCTTAGAAGAAATTTTTAAAGTGAAGAAGTCAACTGCAAGTTAATACAAACCTTTGTCATTGAAGGCAGAACCCATGTCAATTCAAGTTTACACAAATTTGCAATCGATTTTACAAAGAACACATCTTTATGAAAATTTTCACAAAACGCTTGTTTATAATTGAATTGACTAAAATCAGATCCTGGCAAATTATTGCTTGGTATATCTGCAAAATGCTTTATTGCTATATTCTCCAGTTCATCAATTGGCAATCGCGCCTGCACACACAAATACATGCGATTCGCACTATAATGTCTCTCTCTCACGTCATGTAAAGTTCTATGCAAATCCTGTTCATCAATATTTTCTTTCAACGATTTTTTATTGCCCCAAGCAAATTTGCCATGCGGAAAGCCTTCATTCGCTAAACTAGCCAGTAATTGATCACGCCTCGCCTCATCATCATTTTGAGTCTGGTCAAATTCTGAATCGACAGCATCTCGTTCTCGTGTCATTGCTTCTTTTTTCATTAAGGGTGCTTTAAACAATGCAGAAAAGCAATCCATACTGCTATCTAAATGTTCTTCACCCACTTCAAAGTAAAAAACAGTCTCCTCGCTTTCCGTATGGGCATTATCAAAACCACCACAATTTTTAATATGCACATCAAAAGCATTCTCTTCAGGAAATTTTTCTGAACCCATAAATATCATATGCTCCAGAAAATGCGCTAAGCCCGGATATTTCGTAGGCTCAGAGAACGAGCCATAGTCGATCAGTAATGCACACGCGGCAAGCATTTCATCACCTTACAACGTGTAAAAGTTCTATTAATTTTTTTTTGTTTTCAGTTGCATATAAAAACATTACCTTCAAAGCAATCGTCATCATCCTCTGCGCTACTTTGTGTAGAGGACATGCTCTCCATTTCAGAGCTTTCATCAGTAATGGATGCTACGGAAGAATTACCTGAAGATGAGCTACAATCATATGGTGCAGCGGTAGGATCCGATACCAATAATATATGTAATCCATTTCCAAGCAAGAGTGTTCTGCAAACATTATAACAAATATTATGAAAATATTCCTCATACAATGAATATTAAAGCTTACTTATAGTGTTTTTTATCGTTCTCCGATTTATCTGGTGTTTCTAAGTACGTCACCTCCATAGTTTTGACACCGTATGAACACTTGGGCAAATAATATTGATATTTTTGTAAAGAATTATCAAATTTCTTCTTATTGCTGTTATGTTTACTCTTTAGTAATTCGGTTAGGTGTGTTGTATTGCACTTGGATAAATAATTAACTTTTCTTATGTACACTATATTGTTAATAAATGGTCTGATACTACTAAATTTTTTAATAAATTTACTAATGAACATAAAATGTTTATAGTGGCTCACAGATTACAAATCTTTTTATTGATTATATTAAAGGGTAATTAAGTATTATCCCATTAAAATTCTTTAAAAAATAAAACTTCTAATTTATTTACATGATTAATTAACCTATAATCCAAACCAAATGAAAAGCAAAACGTTGACGTTTCCACATTTGACCGAGTCCGAAAACTATTGTGAATGTTGCGCTCTGCGGTGTAGTCATTAACAATAGATGGCACTTAACTACTTAAAGAAAAAATATTCACCACACTGTAGTTGTTATGACTTCATCTTCTAGGCGGGGTTTTATAATTATGCTCTGTTTTTTAAGAGCGTGCTTTATATAAAAGTTAACAAAAGGGATTTAAACAATACACACATTATCAACAAAGAGTAAACTTAAAATAATCGAAAATAAAGTTAATACTTATTATATATATGTAATTATACTGTTGAGTGAACATTAAACTATGTTTAAATATCAATCGACCTACTTTATAATATAGGATATAAGCCTCAACAATTTCTGGCCCATTATCTAGTTGGGTTTGAGTTTCTCTTTAAAAGAAGATCCTCTTTAATTCTGGTCGTGGTTACAATAACACCTTACACAGAGTTTACTCCTTGTCAGTAATTACTATTTAGGAAATTCATCCTCTTTTCTTTCTCTTACTTGTTTCCAATATAATTTTTTAAATAGTAAGCCTTCCATATTCTAATATATGCTTTTCCTTTGATTACTGGAATAGTGTTTAAGCTTTTGAACTTTACTTTCGAATAGCTGTCCATTTTGCATTACTAATATGTTCCTATTGCCTTCATTCAAACAGTTTAATTGATTAATGTCGTTAATAAAATTGATTAATTGTATATAGAGCATTTGAGTTTTCCAACCTAATTAAGAATTAATTAAGGAAAATAATCCTAACAATGAAATTTGACATATTTGACACCTAAAACAAAATGTAAATAAAGAAACAACAGGTAAGAATTTTTAAAAATATGTTTTTTTTATAAATTAGTATTCTATGTACATATTTTTTTGCATGTTCTACGAATTCCATGATCAATTAATTAATTTATAATAACAATACAAAATCGAAAAATATCTACTTACAATTGAAATGTAAACAAATAAAATTTTTATTAGAACTTTCCAAAAACTTTCTGCCAAATTCAATTTCCTTCACATAATCTTAATTTGATTATATAAATTTATTTAGCTGCAGTGGAAACATGATGTAAGAACTGGTTTAAATGGGCTCAAGTCTCACACTACCAAAAAAAATCGGATTAAAAATTGATACTAAAAAGACACTATTAACTTTTAAAGTTTAAATTTTTCAAATGCAAAAATTGCTGACTCTCTTATCACGTTTCAACTGCAGCTAAAACTACTTGTTTATGTAATGATCACTTTTTTTGCCTTAAATGAGTTGATTCATTTATAATGAGCTCATTTAAATGAAAATCTTTATGTATATTGTAAGTTATTCTATTTCGCTGCTTTTATTCTCATTAGATACCAGAGAAAACAGGATATAAACTGAAGTATAAACAGTACTATACTATATAATATTAATATATATATATTATATATACATTTAACTAAATTCTTAATATATACTATTGTTTTCAATAGAGTGATATATAAAATTCAATTAATTGATAATATAATAAAATGTTATTGTTATAATTTAATGCTGTTCTAAATACCTCAATATAAGATAAGTATACATATATTAATGCTACCTAACACTCGATTATTATAAAGAAGTTATCAATTTTGTGTTTATTTATATATATATATATGTATATTTTATTACAATAAAATAATAAGTATAAACTATTAAACTCGATTCATATAAATAAGTCGTCAATTTTGTCTTTATATATATATATGTATATATCGCTGTAACAAAATAATAAACATAATCTAATTAAAACTTGTTTCGTATAGAGCAGTTGTCAATTTTGTTTGTATTAATACTACTATAATATAATAACGTACATAACTACTATAATGAAGTGAATTTTGTTTATATATGCATATGTAGGTATATATGTATTTTTCTATTGCTATAATATAATAATAAACATAACTTACTTAATAACACTCGATGTGTCAGCGCAGTTGTTAATAATTTTTTTTTCAGTGTAGTATTGTTAAAGGAACATAGCTTCGTGATGAGGAAGAAAATGTGTAAATGTCAACAAACGTAATTTAGTGAATATAAGTTTTAATGTAGTGAAAAATAATGAAAATAAAAATTATTGAAAGAATGAAGTAAATTATTAGTAATAGTATATAAAAATAAATATAAACATTAATGATGCAATGACGCAAAGTTGACAAGCATGTAGGAGAAAATAAAAATATTTTGTAATAAAGAAAAATATAAAAATTCCATAGAGATCCATAGATCATAATATCTTATCGCAAAAATATTTCAAAATATATTTAGACAAAAAAATTATTAATAGAGATAAAGGAAAATAGCACGGCATTTGGTGTCTGCCTACTAAGTTAAAAATCAACTAATTATAAACGCAAGCAGCGCACAATTACAGTAACAGTACAATCCATATATGGCACATATGTCTGAACACCGGAAGCGCAACACTTTTACCAGTTATGTTAGCACGCCACAAAGCAGTTACATGACAGCGCCTGGTGCTGATGAATGGTGTTTCACTAGTGATATGCGTGACGTACTCATACTATCCAAACCACGTTTGTTGGCGAAAGAGCTTATAGCAGCCTCTGCGCCAGCTTACATGTACCCTTCGATTACGCCAATCGATGATGCTGATACTCCGAAAGAGGCGATTTTTGGTTTATTAAGTGTAACAAACTTCAAATTGTCATTTGTGCCACTACCGCGGCAATCGCTGACCCTACCACAGGAATCATATCAGGAACATTTGTATTTGCAACGAAACGATGTGACGCTTAACAATATCGATTATGTGTACCAAATAGGGGAAGGTGGACGTACAATTGCTTTGACGGGTGGCAGCAAACGTAAGAAGCTGGATAACCAACAGAAAGTCATGAGCGGAAGGATTGCTGCATTGCACATAGTTTGTAAAAATTTTCGGTTTTTGAAATTTTCATTTCAACAATCTTATGGTGATAAGGATTATGGCAAGTTAATAGCATCTGCACTGGCGCGTTTTGTTTATGCTTCACGACATGATCTCAGTTTCGGTTTCTGCTACAGGGAACCCTACTACTCAACACTAGAGAAGTCCAGTGTGACTATGTACAGGTCGAAAAATGATTGGGCACGAGAATTAATACGCTGTGGCGCCACAGAGTGGCAAGTGGTTAGCGCTGAAAATGTGCCGCAACTGCAAAATAAATTACAGTCCACGAAGTACACGCTGCCGCCGCATTTCGTCATACCAAAATGTTGCAGTGTGGAGCGATTTTTAGATTTATCGCGTGCATTTTGTGATTCGCGTGCTGCATTTTGGGTTTATGGTTATGGCAATGCATCGCTGGTGCGGTTAGCAGAGTTAAAAGCAGCAGTGCAACAGGACACCAAATTGGAAAATGTCACATTGGAATTGGTGAGGAAATGCGATGAACGAAAATTGATTAATCTGTTGCAGTTAACAGAATGCTTGCCTAGCATACAGGATGTGCAACGGGCTTACTTAAAATTTCGAAGGTTGTGCACACCAGAAAGTCCGCAGCAATTTTTACTGCAGGAATCAAAATTTCTGACGCTATTGGAGAAATCAAGTTGGTTGTTTTACGTGTCATTATGCTTGAGATATGCATGTGAGGCGGCAGAATCGTTGCGTGCTGGTAAAACATGTGTCTTACAAGAGACTAATGGACGTGATCTATGCTGTGTCATTTCTAGTTTAACACAAATAATACTAGATCCGTTATTTCGCACAATCGATGGCTTCCAATCGTTGGTACAAAAGGAATGGATAGCATTAGAGCATCCATTCAAAACGCGTCTCGGACATGTACGCGCAAGCACAGACTCTGCGGAGGAAGATGAAAGTCCAGTATTTTTGTTATATTTAGATTGTGTATGGCAGCTTTTACAACAATATCCGGATGAATTCGAATATAGCGAAACTTACTTAACAAGTTTGTGGGATTCGTGTTTTCTACCCATTTTCGATACATTTCAATTTGATACGGAAGCGGAACGTGAACGCGCTGTAACACAGATGGATTTAGTACAACGTCCTGTGTGGGATTGGAGTGAGCAATTTTCAGAAAAAGATAAAGTATTCTTTACCAATCCCTTCTATCAGCGTCGACCGCAGGAGCATAATGTACGTAGGTCTATTGCTATACCAGCAGGTGCGGTGATGCTACCAGGACTAGCACAAATTACACAACCCAAACAACAACAAACACAGCAAAGATACACGATTAATCCACAGTTATTTGTACCACAGTCTACTATACCAAAAGACAGATATCTGTCACCGCAACATAAAATGGCACACTTGGCTATTTGGGAGCAATGTTATTATCGTTGGATGCCAATACTCGAAATCAAACATGGTGGCTATCCGCCAGTTGATCTATATCATCGTTTCCTATTGAGTAATATTGCTAAATTGCAACGAAGTATTGAATTGCAAGAATTCGAAGATTTGCCGGATATTTACTATGAAATTACCGGAGACGAACGCACAACCGATGCGGGCTGTACGAAACGTAATAGCATCGAAATGATTGACGGCGTCGAGAGACGGCGAAAGTCGCTGCCCACTACGAATGGCATCAATCCCGGTAGTATATTACCTGAAATATCATCATTTTTCCCTTTTAGCATTAATGTAGGTCAATCGCAACAATTATTCGATATATTGAATGATAGCAAAGAGTATTTATTGGAGGGTTCGATTATGGATAAACTTTCAATTACGTAGGAAGGCGGTTAAATTACTAAGTAATTACATACCTAAACCCATACATATATTTTTATTTTTATATTTTCTAACAACACTGGTATATAACTTATTGGTTAATATTTTAATTGAAATAACTTACATCGAGTGTAAATGTAATGAAGAACTTCTTTTGTATTTTTGAACTAAAATAATTTATCGAATTTTTTACAATTTTGTTTTTTTCTTCATGTACCTTAAATGTTATATACTAACTACTATTTTATATAAGCAGTAAAGCTTGAGGTAAAACAAATTTATATATAAAATAAAAAAAATTCTACTTTCGAAACGTTAGGAACAGCGCCTATAATGGATTTATAATAACCGAGTTTTCTGAGCAAACTCGGTTTTTAAGTGAAATTTTATTTTAAATCTATTTTGTAAAAAAAAATCAGAAATATTTATTAAATACTAAAAAATAAAAAGTAAAATAATTAAAATATTTTATATTTATTTTATATATAATATTTAAAAAAATTTTTAAAAATTCTTTAATAATTGAAAGTTTATTTATAATTTTAAAATAAGCCTTGAAGCCAAAATCTGTTAATTATTAAACAAAATTTTCTCCAAACAACGAAAGTTGTTCATTCTTAAGTTATGCGATGGCATATACACAAAATTTAAAACAAATGCATTCTTTTTATATATTTTATATGGTTTTTTTTTAATTATAGTTAAAACCTCATTTACATATCATTTATTTAAAACAACAAAAATTCAATTCCGCGTTTTTAAATACAAAAAAAAAAAGTATTAACAATTAATGTAAACATTTATATAAATAATTATGTAGATATTTATTTTCTATTTACTTTCTATTTATATATATATATATAAATATAAAATAATTTCATTATTGTTTATTGGTTTCCATTTCATTTTTCTGAATTTAAAATTTTTTCACTTTAATAAATTTTTTTTTAATATTATTCTTAAAATATTTAAATAGTTTCCACAATTATGTAAGTTAAAGGCAGTTAATTATAAAGATTAATTATTTTTACATATATTTTGTAATATATTTTATTTATGTTAAATGAAATGTGAAATGAAATTATATTAAAAAAAAATATACTCTTTAAATTTTTATTTAGCAAGAAAATTTATAACATATATTTCTGTATGATATATTTCAATAAAAAGCATATATAAATTATAATGATAATAATTATATACATTGAATGTATTAAAATAATAGTGCATTATATGAATAATAAAATTTTTTCGAAATTATATATAAATTCATTTTTATTTTTATATGCTAATGACTTTATATTCTGGCAAATCGTTTAACGTATTAAGACAAATAGCACGAAATAAAAACTTACAGACTATACTGAAAAGCACGACTCCGCCATTTAAGCAAAAGTGAATCACGCTGACAAATCTGTAAGCTGCCCAAGTCCTTGATTCTGCAGGATAACAGATTTATGAAGTCAGTAAGAAAAAGTGCCCTAAAGATATTTTAATCTATTATTGAGTATTGAGTATGATGGGTGTTGATGGAAAGGAACAACATAGATTCTTACTTTTTTCAGAACCAAAAACACGAAAAATGTCGTAATAAAGTAGGGGGAAAACAGATTCCTCGTCTTCTTCAGAACCAAAACACGACAAATGTCATTATATAGTAGGCTCAGTTTCAAAGCATGTCTTTCTAATAGGCATTGATCACTCAGTAGGCTGACTAGGTTTGGCGTTAATTAAAGCACTTGAACGGTACGTTTCTTATCCAGTTTGTACCAATTTAATCTTAAAATCTTACAGAAATTTTCATCTACATATGTTTACTTAACTATGCTCAGATAATTTTGTTTAATATCCAGCTTGACCATTGCAAACGGGATAGTAATATGCGGAAAATGAATGCTAGAAAGTAAAGTGCCTGCTCTGACAAGTTCATCTGTCCTACATTTGCCTGAGATCTATCTGTATCAAAGTGCCCATGTGAGTTGGACACTAACATTCCTAGGTAGCTCGTTTAGAGAAGCCCAGCAGTCTCGACTTGTTACAGATATAACTATAGCGCTTACCAGTGATAACAGTTGCCTGTTCAAGAAGTTTTGATATTTACATCGGGACCTTTGCATAGGACGCTTTTTGGTGCATAGTAAATCACTATTACTTATAGAAATCAACTGAAAGACACGATATGCTAAAATTCAATTTATAGGAAAATATGATAACTGCTGATTAATGGAAAAGAGACATTTTAAAATCACAAATTTTATTTTTTATCAAGTGAGTTCTCTGACTTCCTATTTAATTGTTTCGAAAACCGCAGTTAAATTAAAAATAATAATTTATAAAAGTTAATTTATATAGCTGCGGTTATGCGTTAATCTTAAAAATAACACAGCAAGTGCAATTGTTATCTCCGAATGAAAAACAAAAAGTACCAAAATTCAATAATTGATTAACACAAATAAAATGTACGTTGGCTTTGTGTGTAAACAGGCGTGTCTAGGGTTCCATTTTGGCAAGGGTTCAAATCTAGATACTTGCAGTTCAAACTTATTATATATAGACACTTATACAGACAATATATTTTATATAAACAATTAAACCAATAAATGTTTCCAAAGACGACTGTTGCAATATATAACTTCATAATATTATATGTATATTTTAATACAGGACAAAATTTTAATAATATTGTCAAAAACATTTACCAAAAAATTCTAAATATATTAAAAAAAAATACAATTCTTTAATTAGTTTAAAAAACAGAACATTTATTGACCGATATATCGATTATATTCTCTAGTAATCCCAAGTATACTAAGTCTTTAAGTATCTTTATTGATACCGTATACACAATAGTTATTATAGCCCGTGAGTTTTCTAATAATTAGGGGACATAACATGGATACCAAAGAATACCTTTGATGGAAATATTCTTTGATGGATACTATTATTGGACTTTAAGAGTGGCAGATTAATAATTGTGTAGAGTTTAGTTTCTCTATATATAAAGTACTTCACTTGAGCAATTAAATTTTACAAGCAATTATACAAATTGCTTTATAAATTTAGTATGAATAATAAATATTTACGTAAATATACATGATCAATCGGAATCTTATTTACGAGATAATCTCTATCTGAGCTGCATATATGGCAACTCTGGGTTTAGACCGTAATTAATATCGAAAAGCCAGTATTTTGAACAAAATGTCCGTTTTCTTTCTTCTTTAAACATTTAATTTACAAGTTCGTTAAATACAATATTCTTATAAATACAAGACTTAATAATATATATTGAAAATGTCCAATTCAAATCAACAAACTCAACGGCGTCGACGTCGTAGTCCAGTTCCTTTAGAAATAATACAAAAAAATGTATCAATTTCTTTATCCAAAATAATTATTAACATGATAAATCCGGAATGTCAGCAAAGATGTAAAGAAATGTTGAATATTGAAAACGCAACAGATGCGGAAAATAAAATTTTAAATGTTTTGCAGAACATTGAAGAGAGTAAGCAAGAGCCCGTACATAATAAACGTCAACGAAAGTAAAATTAAATAAATTTTTTGATTATATATTTTATTCTTGTCTAACAAAAATATTTATTTAACATTGAAAAATAAAATTCAATAACTGTTTTGTAATTTATAATAAAATTATTTCAATAAACTTATCAGTTCTTTATAAAACATGACGTTTTAATTTACTTTTTTTCTTTTTCTGCATCTTTTGCGGCTTCTGCCGCTTCAGCATTCTTCAACAATTGCGATTCGATACCAACTTTTTTAAGCTCTTCAATTAAATCACCGCTTTGATGCATTTGAATTAGAATATCACAACCACCAACAAATTCGCCATTAATGAAAACCTGTGGTATTGTGGGCCATTCAGTATAATCTTTGATACCTAAAATAAAATGTTCATTAATACTAAAACTTTCATATGTTAATTTACAAAATAAACCTTGTCGCAATTCTTCACTTTCTAGTACATCATGTGCATCGTAAGGTACGCCATGCATGCGGAAAATTTGTACGACAGCATTGCTAAATCCACAACGTGGTGCCTCTGGATTACCTTTCATAAAAACGACAACTTTATTGGTGCGTACTATTTTACTTAGTGTGTCTTTATCAATAGCGGCTACACTGCCGGCTGTGCTATCGGCAAAATAGCGCGGTTGTATGCGTAACGCTTTGTTGCTAACTACTTGACGTACTAATTGTCGTACCAGTGACATTTTGCTTTAAAATTTTTGTATGATGTGCAAATTAAAATTATTTTTATGATTAAATAACAATGCCTTCTAAGTTATTGACGTTTCGAAGTAATCACACTCAATTGACAAACAGCTGATTTGGTAATTTGTATGTATTGTTGTGAAATTTAAAATTCAACTCAACCCAACAGGGTTGTATTTTTAAAAGAGTTGAAAAAATAAGTTGCATAAATTAATAACACGAAACTATTAATTTTCAAATTTCAATAATAATATTTTTAACATTAGTTAACAGTTAATATACAATATATAACTAAATAATTTGTTTTATAAATTAATGAATTAATATTTTTACATATATGGCAGTGAATAATTGTTAATAATTTTGATTATTGATGATGTAATATAGTGAAAGACAAACACAAATTCTATGCTTAATGACATCGAAAATGTAAATTATACAAATTATTTAAAATTAATTGCATTTTAAATTTAATAAAAACTCGTATTAAAAATATATATATATATTGATTTTTTCCATTTAACAATTAAATTTGTATGTCTATATAAATATTTCAATATACAAAAATATATTGCAAATTATGGCAATTATGAAAGATTTACAATATTTTCCCATTCAGTTATGATAAACCAAAGAGAAAATAAAGCTGGGAATCAAAAAACAAATTCAAACAATAACAATATGTTATTATAATAAATGTAATAAAATTAATAAATATAATAAAATTAATAACGATATTAATTTCGTAACAAATAAGTACACTGCACATATTTAAAAAAAATTTGAATGGCTGATTACTGTATTGAAAATATATTATAAATAAAATTTGGAACTCATAAAATAATAAACATCTACTCTTAGTTGCAGGTGATATTGAGTAGCATTATTCCCAACAAGAATTAATCACAATTTATTCAGTATTTACATTTATTTAATTGTA